TCATACAGATTAAATCTTTCCAACACTCACTTCTGCCTGTGGGACATCCCTTCAAGACCCATTCTTCTACTAGTGTGCTTTTGATCTCATCAGTTCCTGCCTTACAAGGTTTCTGGCTCCAGTAAATCTTTATTTTTTTTTTTAAGATTTATTTATTTATGCATACAGCACTGGGGTACAGGTCAGAGGTGCAGGGATAGTGAGAGGATTCACCAGAGACAGAGTGGGTAGCAGAACAGGAAGATCAAGGAAATACACTGCTCAGGGGAACAGACAGAGAACAAGAAGTCTGCTGTGCCATGTGGGTCACTTCCTAGGCAGGGGATCAAACTTATGCTGAAGCAGACAGCTGCACTTTAACCTGTTGCACCACCCATTCTGCAAATCTTATTTTCTATCTCAGCCTCCAACTTCTCTCTTCAGGCTTTCCTCCTCCTCATATAAACATATCATGCCACCCTTCTCTGGTAACAATCCATTCAACAAATACCATGTGTCTATGAAATGCTTGATTCTACTCAAAGCTTTGATACTGCCTGCACGATGTTCTGGTAAGATTCTGTTCTGCTTCAACCCAATAGCATATTCCTAGAAAACCTATTATCAAGTTGTTATAAAAGCAACTGTTTAAAAACTAAATAGGGTAATGGACCAGAATTTCATATTATTTTTCTTGCAAGAAATTTAAGTCCAGCTTTTAATTATAGTCCTTTGCTCAAGAGTAAACCCTAGTCCAATTACCATAGCCACATTAGCATAATATATCCAACTATTGTGATATACAAAGCAGAAAGTACACTTAAACACTTTTTTCCTCACTCATGTACTCTGCTTAATGTAAAACTATGTTCCCGAAAAACCTGTTGCTGTGTTATACCCAGCACCCTGCTATGAAAGAAGTTGTGGAGCTGCACAGGTATGTAAAAGGGATTTATATCCTGCATGGGTGGGTTGGGAAGACCTTCTTCAGGAAGTGAGCCTTAATTAAAGAGGCACTAAAGCAAAAGGGGAAAGAAAAGGGAGGAAAGCTGTGTGACAGCAAAGAGAGTTCCAGTTATAAAATCCAAAAGCTAGGTGGTGGGGAATAAGCACACAATTTCAAAGAACAGAAGCTAGTGAACAGGATAATATGGAGAGGTATGTTACGTGATCCTGTGCAACATAGAAAGGATGTGAATTTTACATTACAAGCAATGGGAAATCACTGCAAATTTTAAGTAGAAAAGCTGCATAAACCATGGTTCACTTTAGCTACCTTCCTCCATTCTTGTCCCTTCAAGTTGGGCTTCTTAAAAGCAATCTACAGTCTTCTCTGGTGGCACAAGGGCTTGAAGCACAACACTATGAAGCTATCTGCAGTCACTGTAACAGAGTTCAATGCCCAGCCAGGTAAGTAACTCACATGGCGTAGGAGACCTCTCCTGTCCCATCCACTGTTCTCCTCAGCAGCATATTTAAGTTCACCTGCCTGTTTTGCTCTCCACTCTGTCTGTGGTGAATCCTCTTACCCCTGGCACCTCTGGCCTGTACCCCAGTTCTTGTATGCATAAATAAATCTTTAAAAAATAAGTCTATACTTGCTCATTTGTACTTCCTCCTATCTTCTCACTTCTGAACTCCACTGAAACTGCTCATTTTAAGGTACATATTAATCATTTAATAATTAATAAGCATTTTCAGTTTGGGCCTTATTTGCCCTATCTGGCAAAGTATGTAGCTCTGCTGACCATCAATTCCCTCCAATGATTTTTCTCCCCACTTCTATGGTTATTCCTCTTCAGACTTTTTTTTGCAGGTTCCACTTTCCCTACACCCTTAAATGTTGTTGTCTGTAAAGTCTGTTGTTAGCCTCCAGCACTTTTAAACCCTCTATATTTTCCCGGGATAATCTCATCCACATTTAGGACCTGACTGCTTATGATTACAAAATTATATGGAATCTCAAATTGAACGATTTGAAAACCAAATAATTCTAACACTTCAATATTTCAATCTGTATTTCCTCTTCTTATCCCTGCCACTGCCTCAGTTCAGGATGCCACTGGCATCATTCTCTTCAGATTTACTCCAACAAACTCCTTGTGTTCTCTGCAGTGTTAGCCTCATCCAACACAATGGCAGACTATCTTGCTAAAAAGTTTATATGAACATGAACAGCTTAAAATGCCTTGCTGAAATGCCCAAAAGTGGATGACTGGATTAAATAGATGTGGTACATATACACAATGGAATATTACTCAGTAACCAAAAAAAAAAGAAAGAAAGAAAAATACCAGATGCTTTCACTCATAGCAGGAGTATAATGGACCAGGCAAGAAAATAATAATAAACAGCCGTATACCAGAGACATTTTGTGGGGGGTGGAGTGGGGAATGGGATCAAAAACAGGGGAAGGAAGTGCACGGGACTATGGTGGTGGCACACGGGTGACTCGGTGATGGGAAACCTATGGGGATTACAATTGAGATGGAAAAAAAAATGTACAAAATGATGTAAAAATAAACTATTATATAAAAAAAATTTTTTTTAATAAAATAAAATGCCTTGCTGAGTTCTTACCAACTACTTCAAAAACCTTAGTGCAATCTACCAGGACTTCGTGGGCTCTGGTTACTCTCCAACCTTGTCTTCAGATTAAATTGTTGGCTGTTCTGTTGCATTCCATATGATATATGTGCACACATTTCTTCATTCTTTGGAACGTTAATTCTTTCCTCCAACTTTACCCTCCACTTCACCTAGCCAATTTGTCCTGTAAGATCCAGGAAAGGCCCTCCCTCCTCCAGAAAGCATCAGAACTCCAGGTGCATGCCTGTGAGAGATACACAGAGGCATTCCCACAGCATCCTGTGCTCAACACTAGCTCTGTATTTATTACTTTTATGTGTTCATCTACTTATTGATTTAACACTCCTCACCAAACTGGATCTTTGAGAACATTAGTCTAACACTAGAACTTATCAGGTGTTGAATGAATGAATGAATGAATGAAATTTCAATGAGTGCCTTCAGAAAAAAATTCTAGAAAATGAGCTCTCAAGAACAGAACTTTTTGTGGCATTCTTTGCTCAACCTCCAAGCCCAGAACAGGGGCTGGTGTGCCAATGGTGTTCAGTACATATCTATATAGTAGTTAAGTAGATATTCTAGAATCAAAGGAAAGTATTCTAAACTCTTCCTACAATTCTTTTCCACTACCAACTTTCCAAGTTTGTGACCTACTTTTACTACTGTAACACCACTGCATGTCACATGATTTCTACTAACCAAACAAATGCTCTTGTTCTTCCATTAAGGAAAAAAAAGCAAAAAGAGCACTGTCCATACTCACTAAATGATTCCTAGACACAAGCCCATGGATTTCCTGAATAAAAAAAATGCTACATTTTCAGTGTGTTCTGATAGGTGAGAGGAATTACAATTTTCAAAGGAATTACAATTTTGTTAACACAACAAAAAAATTAAACTGCTTAACCATCAATATTAACCTTAACTAAATATAATATTCACATTTCTCAAATCTATACTTTGATATGTGGTTAGCAACTTGGAAACAGCAGCTTCCACTAAAATAAACACAACTGCAGAAGACACAGCTTTAAGGTCTCTCAAGTAGATTTCTACTGGTAGTGCATTTAAAATTTTCTATAATCGGAAAAGTAATGACCAGCAAAACTTAAAGTTAGTACCCTATTCTAACATCTTTTGTGCTTGTGTGATTGAAGATATTTATCATACTGCTTGGTAATATGTTCAAGGAGAAAACGTTATATTCTGAAGATGATGACAAAGGAAACATTTTTTACTGCTATCTAATAAATGGAGTGGGGAAAACCCAAGATCATCTAGATTTACAGTAAAGTTTTTTTTCTTCTTTTCTGTACCAAGTGAACCGAACAGCAAGAGCAGTATTTAGCTCACCAGGTATCAATTCGATCTAAAAAATAACAAGCTAATAATTAATTAGTAGAGGGCAGGCCATTATATCTTTTTAAATTATGTATCTTTTTTAAAAAGATAAGTTTTTTTTAATTAAAATGTTCGCCAGCTGATCTAAAGAAGCTAGCTACAAAAGAATCCAGCTACAAGATTCCTTTTATATGAAAGCAAGATTATTCTATGGTGCTATGAAAAATCAGAAAAGGAGCAGCCTGTGGGGTGGAGAAGGGGCTAAGGCACTGAGAGTGGTTGACAGGTCTGGAATTTAGCACAGGTGTATCCATTTATGTAAGTGGCTTAACTGCACACTTAAGATCAGAGTATTCTATTTAATTTACAGTACACCTTATTAAAGAAAATTAAAGAGAAGGGTGCCCTTAGCATTTCTTTTAACTACTACAACCAGACCATGCCCATGTTTCCGCGAGCTCTTTCTGGAAACAAGCCGAGACTCTGACATGTAGACTGTGGACCCGCGGGCGCTCTGGCCGCCACGGTTTCGGCTAGGCCATTCCAAGAAGCCGAAGTACCACTCACCGCAGAGTAGCTAGAGGGCCCCCGAAAACAGGGCCCGTCCGCCCCCAGCCCGCTGGGCCACAGAACACACAACAGCAAAACCAGGGTGTCTGCGGGCGGACACAGGCAACGGCGCGCGAGGGCAGCGCGGGGCCACAGCAACCCCGCCGATCCCGTCGCCCTCACACCTCGCCCCCCGGGTCCCTGTCGGTGTCACCCGTCCAGGGACCCTGCATCCGCCAGACCCCGGCGGCTTTCCACCGGGGTCAAGAGCCGAGTCCGCAGAAGCCACCCAGCGCCGCTACGGCGCCGCCTCCAGCCAGGCTCTGCGCGTGCGCTTCCGACAAGTACCTACTTCTGAGGGCTTTTTTCAGAAGGGGCGAGAGAAGCGGTCGGCGCAGGCGCGCCTCTCGCGCCGCCACTTCCGCCCCGAGAAGGAGGCGGGGGAGGCGAGAGGGAGCCGGCGAGGGAGGGAGCCGGCGAGGGCGAGCGCCAGCCTGGCTCCTCCGGGGAAGACGGCAGCCACCGTGCGGGCCGCGACTCACCAAATACAGCTGCTGCCAGCGATTCTGAGTATCCAGCTCCTCAAACTCCCGTTCGACTGGGGCAGACATGGCGACGGTAGCCAGCTGGCGCGAGTGGAGCCAGCGCCGGCGGAGACGCTCGGGCCCCGCACGATCCGGGGAGCGCGCTGGCGCTGCGGCGCATGCGTGCTCTGCGCCCCGCCCCACCCCCACGCCGGGTCTGGCCGGCTCTAGGGAAAGTACCTGGAACGTCTAACGTCAGCGCGCCGACTGGCGCCGAGCGAAGAAGGCCTGTGGGCGGGGCGCTCGGGGGAGGCGTGGTCCGGAGGGCGCCCAGGTGCGGAGGGGGCGGGGCTTATGGGGGCCAAGAAGAAGTTCTGTTGGCTGGACCCAGGCCCGTAAGTGGGCTGGCTGTCCCTGGACTCGCATGGAACTGACCAGAAGGAGGAATACCACTTTCCCTGAAATAGAACTGTCCAAGATACCCCCCTGAAAATCACTGAAACCTCAATATTGCCCCATTTATTTTTATTTTTTTAATTTAAATTTTATTTTAATCATCTAGATCAACCTAGCAGGTTGTATCCAACTTTGGAACAAATTTCTCAACCCTCTTAAAATATAAACCAATCCTGTGCCCTCCCTGGTGGCGCAGCAGGATAAAGCATAGCATTAAGAAGCTAAAGCCACTTCAGCATGAGTTCCATCCCCACCCGTCCCCAGAGGTGATCCACATGGCGCAGCAGACCTCTACTGACCTACCCGCTGCTCCCCTCAGCAGTGTACTTGTCCATCTGCCTGTTCTGCTCCCCACTCTGTCTCTGGTGAATCCTCTCACCACCCCTTCACCTCTGGCTTGTATCCCAGTTCTGTATGCATAAATAAATAAATCTTAAAAAAATATGTATATATATAAACTAACCCTGACTACAACTCCAGAAGATGGATTATACCAAAGAAACCACTACAGCAAAATGAGAGGCAACCTCTAACGAAATTTGGGGAAATGTCACTTTTAAGTTATAAAACTTAAAAGTTAATATCTGTAAAAAAAAAAAGGCAAATAATTTTTTAACAAATGTGTTCTTATGGAAATCATTGGCTTCAGATTAAGATGATTCCTTGTTAGCATAGTTGTGCATATCAGATAGTCTTCAAAAAAAAAAAACCATGCATTAAGAGTTCAAAAACTTTAGTTCTGTTGTGCAATATTGAATTTTAAATTTTAATTAAAGTGAAATGAAAAGATCTTTTCTTTGACCACACTTCATCTGAGGCTCATCTGAGGTCTCTTTCAATTAGATATCAATTTTTGGATTTCCTGATTCTCTCCACACTTCAATTTTAGCAAGATTCCTACTAAATCACTTTGGCCATTCTTTATATGTCTCCCTTGATATTTAATCAGGTCCCTCATCCCTCAGGTGATGTTTGATCACTCTGAATTGCCTTCATCAAGAATCCTGCTGGGTCAGGTTAGCCAGAATCACCTGATAATTACTTCTGGGCCTTTTGGCTAAGATCAAGTGCATATTCACCCTGCAGAAAAATGGAGTCCTTGTTAGAAACACCTGTACTGAGGCCGGTGCCAAGACTTAATTATATTTTCAGCTCTCCCACAAATGGAATCTTAAATGAGTAACTTATCTGATAGAAATACTCTTTGAAATAACCTACCCACTTTTTTTGAGGATTTTTGATAACATATTTTTATGTTTGCCATCAAAATCATTTTTACATCATTTTGTGCCTTTTTCTATCTCACCATCAGTTCACCCATGTGCCATCACCGTAGCCCAGTGCACTTTCCCCCACCCCCATTTTTGATCCCATTCCCCACTCTACCCCCATAAAATGTCTCTGGTATATAGTTGTTCATTATTATTACTATTATTTTCTCCCGTGGTCCTTTATTCTCCTGCTATGGGTGAAACCATCCGGTATTTTTCCTTTTCTTTCTGGCTTATTTCACTAAGCATGATCTTCTCCAGCTCCACTCATGTTGCTGCAAAGACATGTGTTTATCCTTTTTGATTCCTGAGTAATATTCCGTTGTGTGTATATACCACATCTTTTGAATCCAGTCATTATACTTTTGGGTATTTGGGTTGATTCCATGTCTTTCCTATTGTAAATAAAACAGTAATAACCATGGGGGTGCAGGTGTCTTTTTGAATCAGTGTACTTGTGTCTTTTGGGCAGATACCTAATAATCTACCCACTTTTTTAGACTAATTTAAACGTCCTTGTTCATGCTCTATGAAAATATTTTGTTAAATAAAAACAAAACATTAAAATATTTAAATTTATTCATTTTACTTTCTAATACTTTCTACTATTGTCCATTGACTGACCCTTTGACTATAAATTCCCACTTGCCCATCCTGTATTTGAAGTTGAGATTGGAGGTCAACAAAATCTGTACCACCAAAATGTCTCTCTGACATAAAGATTATTTCACAAGACAGGCTCTAAAAGCTGGGTGGAGGTTATCCTACTGCAAGATGGATAAATGTGTAAAGGATAATCTTTTGTGCATAGGATGTCTCTCTAACTGTACTAACGTGACTTGATCTCTTTAACTGATCTCCTAACTCTTACCAGAATGACTGGCCAAATCTTATTAACAAATAAGGCAGAACTTAAATTTGCATAACAGCCATACCATTATTTGCTGGATCCTTCCTGGTGCCCTTACATGGCTGATCTTACCTGCATACACTCAATACATTCTTTGTCTTTAACTAAAATTATTTGAAGAGGTATTTTAAACCATATTGGTTATTTACTCAGTATTACTGGGCTTCTCCCATATATGCAGAAGTACACCTGTTAATAAACTTATTTCTCCGATTAATCTCTGATACTTATTTGATTATTAGTCCAAAATTTGATAATGTCAACTAAAAATTCAGGAGGCAATTAAAGCAAAGCTCATTTATTTGGGATCTAACAATTATAATTCAGGATAAGCACGTTCAGTTAGAAAACCTACAGTTCTCTCTCACAGGAAAAAAAATCAGGTTTTTTTTAATAGGATGAAAAGAGGAAGACTAAATAAGTGGTTTTAAAAAGTTGATTAGTATTAACAAACAAATAATTCTCAGCAAAATAAGTCAGAAGGAGAAAGATATTGGATGCTATCACTAATATGTGGAATATAAAACAACTAAATTAATAGTCAGATAAAGGAAGGCTGGAAAACTAACCCTTGATAGCTGTTTATAAAACTGAGATACCAGGCCCTCCCTGGTGGTGCAGCGGGTTAAAGCACAGCACTAAGAAGCTTAAGCCACTTCCATGAGTTCGATTCCAGCTTGTCCCGGAGGCGATCCACATGGCGAGGCAGACCTCTCCTGACCCGCCTGCTGCTCCCCTCAGCAGTGTACTTCGTCGATTTGCCTGTTCTGCTCCCCGCCCTGTCTCTGATGAATCCTCTCACCCTCTGTATCTCTGGCCTATATCCCAGTTCTGTATGAATAAATAAATAAATCTTAAAAAAAAAAAACTGAGATACCAATTGGGGGGAAGAGGGAGGGAGACATAATGATTGAGTTGGTGGTGGATGCAAGATGGTGGCAGTACCTGATGGGGGTAGCCCAATGTAAACTCGGGTAAAGAAAAAATCAGGGCCTCCCTGGTGGCACAGGGGTTATAGTCACAGTGCTATCAAGCTACTGTCAGCCACACAGTGAATTGGACCCCAAGCTACAACAGTTGAGTTTGATCCCCAACCCTCTTGTGGCCCCACCCCCCAACCCCCAGGCCAGGGAGCTGACTAACATGGTGTAGCTGAACTCTCATGTCGCACTGGTTGCTTTCCTCAGCAGTGTATTTCAGTCAATCTGCCTATTCTGCTCCCCACTCGGTCTCTGGTGAATTCTCTCACCTTCTGCACCTCTGGCCTGTACCCTAGTTCTTATATGCATAAAGAAAGAAATCTTAAAAAAAAAAATGGGAGGGAAGTGCACTGGACTATGGTGATGGCACATGGGTGACTTGGTGATGGGAAACACATGGGGATTACAATTGAGATGGAAAAAAATTACAAAATGATGTAAAAATAAACCATTACATTATTTTAAAAAACAACTATTCTTGGCTATACATAACTGGTTATTGATTCACTAGTAGTAATGAAAGGACTGATTTTATCCTTGAGCTAAAAGTCCAAAAATTTCAATTCTATCAGCATGACTTACCACTTGTTTGGTTGATGTGTAATCTGTGTCTGAAGCCAAAAGACTGTTACAGGTGGTGCCCCCTGGAGGGAGTTTGCTGGTGAGGCCAGACAGTCCCTGGGAAAAAGTATCTCATTTTGGGGGTGGAGCAATGGATAAGAAATATAAGGGATTGCAGAAGGGGGTGTGGATTCAGTCTCCCAGTTTAATGGCTTTCAGTTCTTCAGCATTTGGGGGTCAGCAGATTTTTCAGCCTCGACTGTGCTGATCTTCCAGAAGGCTGTTGTTGGCCTCTGAATGTGGAGAGGCTTCCAGCAAACAACCTCAGAGAGGAAAAGTTCAGAGGATTTGCAAGTAACTGAGCAACTGAAACTGATCCCAGGCTGCTGTTACAACTTGGCAGAGAAGGCAATGACCCAGAACCAGAGCTGAGTGCCTCACTAAGCTGCATGAGTGTGGCCATTTGTTGGATCATTCAGCGGTTTTAGTTGCTGTCTTGAGTGTCACTGGTCTGGTGCTGCACTGGGGATATCATGGCAGCTCCAGGAGCATCTCCTTTTGTGTCTTCTGTTGTTTTTGTGAGTTGAACCTGACTTACGTTCTGATTGCTGCTTGTCTGCAGTAGCAGAAAGATGCCATCTTGGGCATATTGCCTATTATCCAGGAAGGTAGCTCTATGTCCACTGTGCTGGGAAGATGCCATCTTAACTGCTTTTGTTTAGGACTTGAAAACACTGGACGCTACCTTGGATGAGGAAAAGTCCATGTTTTTTTGCCCCCAGTAACTCTGTTTTTCCCTGGTTGTTAAATAAATCTCTTTTTTGTTGTTCCCTGAGCACGAGTAGTCTTGCAATTGTGTGTGCAGGTGAATAACTCAGACAGTGACCAGTAAACTGTTGGGGCAGTGTCCTTGGCCAGTTTTAGTGTCCCTTGCTGGCCTGTATCAGATGGTTTCTTTTCTTTTTTCTTTTTTTTTTTTTTAGCTTTATTTATTGTGTATAGAGAACTGGGGTACGGACCAGAGGTGCAAGAGTAATAAGAAGACTCACCAGCGACAGAGCAGGGAGCAGAACAGGCCGATGGACTGATGAAGTACACTGC